ACTATGTAAAGAAAACTGATAGCCAATTTACATGCAAATTTAAGCTGATGTGTCATCAGATAATCTTGTCGTCTAGACCTGTTTAAGTTACTGTGCACTCCCCTATGTGCAATGAGGCATGAATAAGTATGATGGTATGGTTAAGGCAGTGTTTGAAATAACTGTTGCTCAACCGCCTGAGATGCACAAATTTTGTCACAGGCAAACAGATTTGTAACAGATTACAGATATGACACCCAACTGAAAATGAAAAACTTTTCAAAAACATGACCTTGGTCATGACTTTTGAATGAAAAATAAAGGGCTTTTCTCATTGGGATTCAAAACCAAGGCACACATGGATCTTAAAAAATAGATAGAAAACTTGGAATGGTTTAAGTAACAATCTTTTAAAATCTTCTCAAGAACAGCAAAGTGATGATATGGAAGCATTCTCTGGTGATGTAGTGTATAATAAATTGGTTAAGTTAAACCCCCCTTTGGGTAGGATGGGGCCACAATGGGGATCAAAGTTTCACATTGCAATATATAGGGGAGAATCTTCCCTAGAACAGCAAAGCCATGATTAATATTGTACTGATATGGAATTCATTAGAAGAAGCCTCAAATAGTGTAGATTCTGTTTAAATTGTACTGAAGTTAAAACTGGAGACATATTGCAAATGATGAAAAATACACTAGTAGAAAAGATATTTCACATACAGCAAAACTCGTTTACTACGAACACGGATATAGCGAATTCACAGATATAGCGAAGTTATTTTAGATCCCCAGCTATATAAATTTAACAAATTCCTTATATGGATATAACTAATTGATGTAGTAAAGTAATTTCATAGGTCCCGGTGACTTTGTTATAACTTTGTTTTACTGTATTTCATAAATTAGTATTATTGTTTTTCAGATGAATTAAACCCCATTTTATTTTCACAGAATGTATGCGATTGGGCTGCATCATGGTTTTAAAGGAAAAGGTTACACTATTTATTACAGACAGCAAGAAAACATCATTGAACACCACCAACTAATAAGACTCCAAAGGTGGGAGAATATATGTCATGCATTTATAGATTTTTAATGAAATTACTGCATTATATAAACTTGATATTCCATGTAAAGTAATTTATAAAATCAAAATAACCATTTTTTACCTTAATAATAATGTAGCTTAAACTAAAGAATTCTAAATTGATGAATGATAAGTACATGTACATGTATATTGTAATTATTATTTTAGGAATAGTGGAAAATAAGATATTTAAAGCTGTCAAAAAGCAGAGATTAGAGTTCAGTGGATTCTATGACGGTACTTTGGATAATGTTAATCAGGCAGCAATTCTCTTCCCAAGGATCTTAAGTGCTTTTAGAAGAGGGCTAACAAACAAAGGACAGTCACTTACTACAGAAGAGAAGCAGGGGAGATTAGTGATATTCTGAGTGGCATGCCTGCACCTTACAAAGATGTAAAACTTTAAAAATTGTGTTTACATATACAATGATTATATGATAAATGTATCTAATAATCAATATTAATATGATTAATATTTTCAAATATTTTTTTTTACATTTTACTGTTCATTAAAGAAAAAATAATTTGTTTTGTATTTGAATTTGGAAATGTAAAGGAATTTATTTTAAAATGTAAACTGATATTCTTACATGTAAACATGTACTGACGTGTGTACATGGTGTATATATTGGACTCTGACAAAAGATGATGCTACTTCTTTTTTTGGTGAAATTATTAATCACAATGATTTTTGTGCACACGATTTTTTTTTATTTTCCATAGGGTATGGTATCTATGAAACCTACTCAGCCTTTTTGTTTGGCTATTTTTTAAATCATAGATATATTTTATTTTCTTGATAACTGAAATCCTCAAAAAATGATATTTTGTTGTTTGTTGTCAACATGAATTATCTCCCCCTTTCAGCTTGAAATTAGAAATAATACTGTAGATATAGATATAATTTGATTAATGAAAATAAATAATTGTGTTGTATTTGGATTTGGAACTATAAAGAAATTGTTTTGAAATGCTATTTATAATTTAACATGCATAAATATATACATGACATTTATTTGACCGTAACGATAAAGTGAATTTCCCATTTTTTGTATAAAACTCTTCAATGGCTTTTGGAAATTAATAATCAATTGCACAAAAATGTTTTTAATATTTTATTTGCCATAAGGTATGGTGTCTAGGAAATAAACACTGCCTTTCTGTTTGGCTGTAGTGTATTTTTCTTTAAATTTTTTATCATATAGCTGAATTTAGCTGTAAATCTTTTTAAAATTGAAAATTTCATGTTTTCTCGACATGGATTATCTCCCCCTTTCAGCTTAAAATTAAAAACTATTATTGGATGTGGTAATATTTGGATTAATTATGAAAAGTAAATGATTTGATTGTATTTGAAAAGGGAAATATAAAAATATGGTTTTGAAATGCTATTTATTTTTTACATGCAAACATATATGGCATATATTGGACTGTGACAAAAAAAGTGAAATTACCATTTTTGTACAAAATTCATCAGTTGTTTTGAGAAATTAATAATCATTTGCACAAAAATGTTTTAATAATTTTATTGACTTTAGACTATAGTCTCTATGAAACTAGCATGGCTTTTTAGTTTGGCTGTGGGGTTTTTAGAAATTTTTGATAGATAAAAATCCTAAAAAATGGATATTTTACATTTTTTGCCGATATGGATTATCTCCCCTTTTTAGCTTAAAATTAGAACACATTACTGGTCATAAAAATATTTTGACTAGATATGGATAGTAACTACTCATGCTGTATTTTAATAAGAAATAAACATAAATGTGTTTTATTGTTTAGTTTTCTTTTCATTTAATCTTCATTATTGGTATTTTTGCCTGTTTTTAGAGGAAATTTCAGCCATTTTTTGCCCAAAACAGTTTATCGGTTGCCATGGATACCATTGGCAGAATTAAAAAAAAATTATAATATTTTTGGGAGTATCTTAGCATACTCTACCAACATGCAAAGTTTGAAGAAATTCTGAAACCCCCCATGAATCACCTTCTGCATGATTTTTACACGGAGCCGTACTTAAAACAATACGCTGAAATTCAAAAATATCGAATGCCATGTTGATGTTGCACAGAAGGAAAGTTGGAAAGAGGGTGTCTAGAACAGGGGAATCATGATTAGCTTTGGATGGAAGAAGATAAAGACATTTTAAGTCCCGGTAGGTACAATATTGTACAGTATTTTATGTGTCCTTGAATGAAGAATGCTTCTGCTACTGTTCATTAGTCTGGACACCACACATTAAACCATGTAAACTACCCGACAGTGAAATCGTTAGTGCACTATTTCAATTTTGTAATAATTTAAGATCATGGATTTTAACTCGAATTTCCTCGTTTGGGATCGAACTGATGTAAAGAATTTTACCTGTACGTTCCTTTGTTCAAGATAACATTTACAGAGTATGATGTACAATTTAATAAATTATATATTTTTTAAATGCATGTTCATGATCATTTTCAGATCTTATGTTTGATGGCGTATGATTGACTTTAAGACACTTAGCAAATTTGATAGACATCATTTCGGGAGTAGTTTACACAGTAAACAGTAGTTTTTAAGAAACGTTTGACGGTAAAAAAAAAAAAAAAGCTTATTACTCAAAGGTGTCCCTATATTTTGAAAAATGAGTGAAAAAAACAGCGTGTACTAATGCCTTAACAATTATTTTAAAATATCAGTAATTGTAGTTATCCACGTTTGTTTGATATTCAAACAGACAAACGTTTGAATAATTATTCCAGAATGGACAGTTGGTAAATACATTTTACATAGATTTCAGCACCATTAAAATAAAGGCGAGTAATTGTAATTATATTTGGCGTGTGAGGCTTCTCGCGAAATTACGCCATAATTAATTACACGCGTATATTTAGGAATCTACAGTTATAGAATCGTCCGAGAGAATCCGAGTAGAAAATCCAAACTGAGGCCAAAACGTGTGAGAATCGTGTACAAAGCGTGTGAGAAACGTGTACAAAGCGTTTCTTGCAGCCTTTCGTGTAAACCGTGCAGCCTCTCGTGCAAAGCATTTCGTGTAAATCGTGCAGCGTTTCGTGCAAAACCGTGAAGCGTTCCGGGTAAACTGTGCAGCGTTTCGTTTGCGCAGCGTAGTAGCACGTCTCAGGGTCTGTACTTTCATTGGGTGGATATAAAAGATGTTTGAACATCCTCCACACCAATCTGCTTTCAAATTGGTAACATTACCTATTGGGGAAATGTGCAAGTTTTCTATGGGTAACTGGTCTGAAGGGCCCCAAATTCTTACTTGCATATTGTTGAAGCAAGGGCATTATTTGGTCAAGTTTAATGGGTGAAAAACCTGGGTCCCATAGCCCCGGGGCGTAGTCCCCGCTATGCAATAGCATTTGTTGAAGAAGGGCGAAAATTGTAGTTTTGTGCACGAGGACTTTGGTTGTTGAAAGTGCGGGCTAAGTAACATTGTTGCACGCCGTGAGGTTTGTTACACTTCATGCATAGGTGTGCATATGTGCAACCTGTTTAGTACAATAGCCTTGAAAGTTATTGTTGTAACACTTGGGCTGTACCATGTGATGCAGGTAAGGACCTCCCTGCCTGTGTTTGCGAGATATTAGATGTCGATGTCCTCCCAAGAAGTTGACTTATCAAGGCTAAGCTTGAGTCTAAACTGCTCATCGTATTTTATAAAGTTGCCCCCTCCGTCTGCCCCGATTCGGACGTCATGCATGTATATGAGTATGTGTTGGGTTTTGGGAGATGACACATTAAGATTGTATGCCGGAAGCGAAGTCCTAGTGTAAGCCGCCATTAATCTTTCCGGAATCCTCGATGTTTTACATTTACCCAAGTAAAAATCTACATAAGGAGTTCCAAGTAGCCTGTAAACTGGTTTTCTTTTTAGAAGAACTAGCTTAGAAGGGTACAAAATGATCTACTTTCGGTTTAGTCCTATTTGAAATCAAAATTTAGAAAAAAGTACATGCTTATATCTATAGTTTTGGTGTCTCATCTATATATTGATCCTCAATACTATGCCTTATCAAATTGGTAAGCCACACAAGGAGAACTGACAATGACGTGATTTCTATATATAGATTTGTTGACGCCAAAGGAAAACTGGTCCTCGCACAATTTAAGAACTAGCTTACAGGTGTGCGATCAATAGACCAAATCCAGGTAAAATAAACCTAACAGCAGGGACTGCGATGCTTAAATTTATACGCATGCTTTACAGTCGAAATAAAAACAAATAAATATGCAAAGTATATCATTCAAAGACTAAATTAGATTCTGCAAAAAATGAATGAAGAGTGGTCAACGCTAATTTTATGTTAATTTTTTAGACTGTAATTGGATTTATTAAATTAATTCCTGTCAAACTTTAATGATTAGCTGCTTTTAAATGAAGTATAATTATTGTTGATAACTCTGTATTGTGTTAAGAAATTATAGTTCAAGGAAAGTATTTGATTTTAAGTAAATTGTAAACACCCAGAAGCACAAATACCGCTAGAATGAAATTTTACCAAAAATCGCCTGGATGCTCTCGCAGACGTCCGTGCTTTGCATATATATAGTGCGGCCAAAAGAAACTGCGCATTTTACGCTGGACCTTGCTTGCAAACGGAATCTACCTACCTTCTAGTGCTATATTATTGGAATAATTTGTGACCTTAGTTGGATCTAATTGTGAGAAAATCACATGCCTTCTATGTCTATGTGCCTATAACAATATTTGATATTGGATCTTGTACTTTGAGCTACCTTGCTGCTGTGCAGAATACTATAGTGAATGTTTTATAACCTGGAAATATTTAGCTTCTGCGATTGATGTTACAAATTTGGATATAGGACATTCATGCCATGGGTAAGTAATTTTAAAATATAATTTGGTTATTAACTAATTAAGACATCTAGACAATATGAGGGCTTTTCATTGTGGAATTCATCAAGGTTTTCCATTTTTCAGAGATATGTATGCAGGGCGCCAATGTTCTGTAATTGCTTTAATTGCAATTTGTTTTTTTACTCTACAGAGAAATTGGACTGGCTTAATATCTAATGACATTGAGAATGTGGTAAGGGAGGGTCATTTAAGATATGTAAGGCATTTAGAAACTATGGGAATTGAACCTAGAAATTTACAGCACAATGAATTGCCTAATTTTATTGAAACATTTATGCCAAATGTCTTTAATGCTGTAAATATTTATGTTGAAATGTCTCGATCAACATATGGTGTTGTTGGACTTCCTGGAAATTTGGCTGCTCAGTCTACAGATTTTGAAACTGGACTCTTCATTTGCTTACAATCCAGTCAGTCTGTTTTACTCACATTTGGGGATTTCACATACAGTGTTGTGGTTAATCCTATTGATAAAACCTACTTGTTATTTGATTCCCATGCCACTAATAGATATGGTATAACTGATGGTGATGGATCTGCAGGGGTGTTCTACTTTGAAGACTTTCAGGAGTTATATCAGCATTTAAACACATTGCATAGTGGACAGGAATTTGAAATTTCAGGCATTGATATCACTCCAGATAGTAGAATTGTTAGAAATCAAAATAACGTAGAAACTACTACTTATACTAGACAAATTGAAACAGATACTGTCAAGAACTACCAGCAGGTAAGTAGCACAAAAAAACATGCTAGGGAGGAAAGTGTTTCAAATCACACTTATGCTTTGTCTAACAATTGTAATGTTAAGAAGAAGAAATTCAATGTTAATCTTAACAACACAAAGTCTCAAAACAATTTGAATCATACTTACCATAAAGTTGATGAAATGGTCAATATTAATTGCAGTGGGCAATTCATAAATATTGTTTTGCCAGAAATTAATATAAACAAAGTTTATGACATTTTACCAAATGCGCCTCAGACATGTGATAGTACACATAATGCAGCCTTTATTTATGACCCTAAAAGTCTTCAATTAGATAAACAGTATGAAAAATTGATCTCTATGAAACCAGATAAGTTTTGTACAGTATGTAGACGATTTTTATTTGAAAATCAGATAATGTATAGTAACAGTGAATATGAACTGTATGATGTGTCTGTAGGTGATGTTCTTTGTAGTTTATGTAAACGGCATCTAAACAAAGGTATGAGTCCTTTAGACTTTGTATGCAATGAATTAAGTCCTGGTGATGTGCCAACTGAATTGCAGAATTTGAATTTAATGGAGAAAAGATGCATATCTTTAATTAACACATTCTTTTCCTTACTTGTATTACCTGCATATCCAATAGGGCAACTTGGAATGCGAGGTCTAGCTATTCATTTACCTATGCAACTTCCTGACCTTGTAAATAAATTACCACGAGATGGACAAAACTCAAATTTAGCTTTCATATACTCCTCAGCCAAATCTAAACCAAAGGTTATAAGAGTTAGGAAGGTGTTTGAAGCACTTTCTTGGTTGAAAGTACACAATTATCTTTATAAGGACCTAAATATTTCTAATTGGTCTAATTCAAATTATACAGAAAATGAACCATGTGATGTTAATATTGAAAGCATTCTGGAGTTAAGTGGAATACCTACAGATTATGTACAACCAAACATAGATATGGGAGCATCTCTTCTTAATAACAGAAGGGGAATTTCATTACCTGTTGTTAATGATTTAACAAACATAATGTGCAAGACTAATGGAGAGGAAATGACATTTCCATGGTTATTTCCATATGGAAAGGCAGGTTTTAAATATGAGAGACAAAAAAAATTAACATTCCTTCAGTATTATAAATCCCGTTTATATAATATTGACTCTAGATGGCGTAAAGATATTTCATACCTTTTCAGTTCAGTAAATTCTTTTGAAAGTAATAGATTATTTGAATGCATTTCAATTTACATGCGCATTAAGAAAAGTGATAATAACTTATTACAGCTGCAGAATTTGACAACACCTTCCCCTGATTTAATGTCCAATTCTTACATGTTTATGAAATCAATAAGAGGTACAGTAGCATATTGGAAAGATGTTTTGTTTGATTTAATTGCAATGATGAAAAATCTAGGTCCTCCCACACTGTTCATGACTCTTTCAGCAAATGATTATCATTGGCCAGAACTTGCAACAATGTTGAATGTTGATTTAAAAGATTTGCCTTCTGCTGTACAACAAAATCCTCTTATGGTAGCAATACACTTTGAAAGAAGGTGGCGAGCATTACTAAATAAAGTGATTAAGGGACCAAAAGCCCCTTTAGGTATTGTAAAAGATTTCTTTGCACGTGTAGAATTTCAAGCCAGAGGAAGTCCACATCTACACATTTTCTTCTGGATTGAAGATGCCCCTAGCATTTATAATGATACTGCAGACAATGTAACTTCATATATTAATAAAACCATTTGTACACAATTTCCATCACAATGCAAACATCCAGAATTACATAATTTAGTTAAAAAGCTGCAGGTACATGATCATCGACAATCTTGTTTACGTAGAGGAACCTGTCGATTTGGATTTCCCTATGCAGAATGTGCAAAAACTCATTTATTTACAAGTTTGAATGTTACTTCATCAAGAAAGTTCTATGAAACTAAGAGAAATTCACTTGAGTCCATGATAAATGCATATAATCCAACTATTTTGTTACATTGGCAGGCAAACATGGATATACAAATGGTTGATGGACCTCTAGGTGTTGCTTATTATGTATGCTCTTACATTTGTAAATCCGAGCCTAATACTCTAAAATTAGCTCTTTCAGAAACTTTGAAGCAGTTGAATGAAGCCAATCCCCCAGTTTCATTTAGAAAAAGGCTAAGTAAAATTGGATTTTGTGTACTAAAACATCGAACTTTAAGTGCACAAGAAGCTGCCTATAGAATTGGCAATCTTCAGTTAATATTTTCCTCCAGAGAAACTATCAGATTAGTTGCAGTGAAACCAGAAAATAGATATAAAAGACTGAAATCCAGTGAAAATTTAAAATCATTGCCTCCAAATTCCACTGACATATTTGAAAATAATATCTTTGATTATTATTGTGCAAGACCACAAGAACTATCCACAGTGAGCCTTTTCACATTCTGTAGGCTGTATAAAGTGTCTCATTCAAAGAGTAGTGGTAGTAAAAAAAATATGCATCAGATACAGTTATGTAATGGGCATTGTGTTTTTGTAGAAAAAAGAAAGAAACCTGCTGTAGTTCGAGTAACTAAACCCTCCCGTCATACTGAGGAATATTATTACAGTTTGCTATTATTGTTTTTGCCTCATGTCAACAATGATGATCTCTTAAAGCCATATAATTCATACAAAGCAGCTTTTATCAATAAGAATAATGATTTTGACAAACAAGCTGTGAATATCGGTTATTCAGGTGATGAACTAGAAAATATTATTCGATCAGTGCATTTATCAGAGGCAGAAATAAATGTAACACCAGTATCAGATTATGAAAATTGTCCACCAGTGATTATAAATGATACAATTCCATGTGTTGATTCAAATAGCTCTAGTGCTGAACACATCAGAAAAAGTATCTTTAACAAAACTACCTCAATTGCCAATGATGATATTGAATGGCATCAGTTAGCAACTGGTATTAGCAACACAGATTTTATACAATCTATCGAGTCTTTAACAAATGATCAACAGAAAATATTTTTGTATGTGAAAAACCACTTTCAAAGAAGCAAATCTCAATTACAGATATTTATTACTGGTGGTGCAGGTGTCGGAAAAAGCTATTTAATTAAAACTCTTGTAGAATATACCAATACTATGCATGCCTTATATGCAGGAGTAAATCCTGTTGTTGTTTTGGCACCAACTGGTGTTGCAGCATGCAACATTAATGGTTATACAATTCATTCTGCATTAAAAATACCAGTTCAGCACTCAAAGAACTATGATTTTAAACAATTGTCTTCACAAGTGTTGCAGAAGCTCAGAAATACTTTTCAATATGTTCATACCATAGTCATAGATGAGATAAGTATGGTAAGTGCAGTAATGTTAGAACACATTCATTTACGATTGCAGGCAATCAGAAATAATGACCTGCCATTTGGTGGCTTTCATATGATTCTTGTGGGAGATTTCTTTCAGTTAAGACCAGTACGTGGAAGTTTTGCTTTTTGTCATTCTATTTTGTGGAATGGATTTCTACCATTTGTACTGCAACAAAATGTTAGGCAAGCTGAAGATGTCACATATATGAAACTGCTCAATAGAGTGAGGATTGGAAATATGAATGAAAATGACATTGCCTTATTAAAAACCCGTTTAGTTAAAGACCATTCAAATTTCTCATCCATTTTTCATATATTTCCTACTTGTAAGCAAGTTGAACATCATAATTCAAACGTCCAGAAGACCTTGACAACTGAGGAATTTGTTGTAAAAGCTCAGCATTTTTTCTCACAAAATGATTTAACACCTGACATTGAAGTTGATGATGCTAATTTAATCCCGATTGATGATCGTGATGCTGGTGGCTTATTATCTTCACTAACCTTGTCCGTTGGAACAAGAGTAATGTTAGTTAGAAACCTTTGTGTCAAGTTTGGATTAGTAAATGGAGCAAGAGGTTATATACATGCAATACACACAACTCCCTGTACTGATGAAATAATTGTCAAGTCCGTTGATGTTAAATTCAATAATTCAGAAAAACTACCAAAATCAGTTTGCAATTTTAATGGATCTGTAAGTATTGAAATGTATAGTCAAGAATTCTATTATGATGGACGATACATAATCAGAAAAACTTTTCCATTGATGCCTTGTTGGGCTGCAACTGTCCATAAAGTTCAAGGTTTAACATTAAATGAAGCAGTTTTATGTCTTGATGATACTTTGTTTCAAAATGGACAAGCATATGTTGCATTAAGTCGTGTAAACAGCTTGCAAGGTGTTTTCTTAACAGGATTATGCCTTGGTAAAATAAAACCAGATCAGCTAGTGTTGAACGAGTACCTAAATATGTTGGAAAAATTTAACTTACTCAAATAAATTTTTCATTTCTGCATTCCTAAGTTTTGCATATATATATTGAGTACAATGCTTGACTTTGCACTTATAGAACTTGATTAAAAATTTTTGCCAAAATTTTGAATTGATTGTGAGGCATGTATCTTCATTATATCATAACAAAAGTGCTTCTTAATTTTTATAAGGTATGTAACATTTTATTATGCATTTGGGTCATATATCCATTTTTCAGGTGTTTTTTTTTATGTTGACAAATTTTAAATATTTTTTTCATAATTTCAGATTTCATCTCGTTAAATACTCTACCACAGAATCCTGAGAAGGATGAATTCTGTAATGGCTTCTTCAAAGTTTGTGTACTTGACTGTGGGAAGCCCCAACCATACAAATCTACCAAAAGAGGAGAAGCAACAATGCTCCAGGCAACCTGTGCTGACATTACAAAATACGACAACTTTATTTTTTATGCTGTTGATCACTTTCCACTCGTAAAAAAAAATGAAAGCATCATCATTAAGGATGTGATCAAAAAACCAAATGGGTACATTGTTTCAAATATTAAATACCAAATAAATAAATAAATGAGGCCTTTTACATTTACAAAGTAAACCTGAAATTTAACTCTGTTTTAAATGCATCATAGAAGACAATTTTTTTTTACATTTTAGTAACATTGCAGTGACGGTGAAGTCGGATGTTTTTGTGAGTAGTGCACTACAAGTTCCACAAGAGTTGCGAGAAAATTATGAGAGAGAAACAAAAAGTGGGAAAATTTGGGAAGTCAAAGATGCCGCAATATCGCCTCAAAAAACAACAATCACAGTGTGTGGCCAAGTAGTTGCAGTAAGTACATATTGATATAATTTTATATTAGGTTTTTGAAGAACATGTACTTTAAAAAATGTTTTTTTTTTTATCAGAATCATATTTTGTTTTAATTTCACATTCTTATCTGCATTGATAATTTATTATTTGTACATATTACATGTTTATCTTGATATTCTCAAAATCAAAACATTTATTCTTTTTCATGATAATTTTTTATCAAGTTAATAAATTTTACTTTGAAATTTCTAGTGCAACAAGATCACAACAAAACGAATTCGGGAAACCCAGGAAGAAGTAAAATTTAAAAGAATTAAAATCAAAGACAACACGGGATCTATTAATGTTGCCCTTTGGCGTGACATGGCTGAAACAGAAATTGCAAAAGGAAATTGCGTTAAACTGCTGAACTTCTCTAGGACTTCCAAGTTCGATCATGTGCTGCAATCACAGAAGCCAGTTCTTGGCAGTAAGCCTACTGGATCGTCTATAGAGGTATAGTATTTTTAGAGTCTTTTAAAATAATTTTATGTTAAAGTTTGTCTGTATGGTCTGTATCTGTCATTATTTATTAATATTTTCAGTTCATGCCAGACATTGATGACATCTCATCCACAGACGATTCTGAAGATGAAGACCTCAGCAAAGTCACCGGGCAGGTGCTAGGGGTCCAATCCCTGTATCTGTACAGGTAAAATGTTATTTCAACTACATATTGGGGAATTAAACATCTTTTCATAATAAAGACACTTATTAGTAAACTACATGTCTACATCATTTATTTATATCATTTATAACACTGGAAAATCTATATCAAATAGAATCTTCCAATATTATTGATCATAAAAAGCATGCTTGCTATAAAGTTTTGTAAATTTTTCCAATTCTCCTTAGAAGTAAGTATTTCTCTTTCAATTTATTTCACAGCTGCTGTATAAACCCACCATGCTGCAAGAAAAAGCTGCAAAACAACATCTGCACAACTTGCAATATGCACTATACCGCAGCAAGTGCTGGTTCTGGGGCAGTATGTAAAATCCTCCTTCAAAGAAATGGCATGAACATGCAGACTTATACCATGTTCACAGAACTCATCCAGTCCCTCTTGTCTTCCATGAACTGTGATACTGCACTAGACAGCACAACCGTGTCAAGGATTGTAAATAAAATTCCATTTACAGTTTCTTACGTTGCTAATGGCAACAAACTTGCACACATAAAATATATTTCATGATTTGTTGGAAAGAAAACATTTATCCTGTCTTTGAAGTTATGTACATTATTACAAGGATAACTGATAGAACAATAATTATTTTATGAACTTGCACTTCTCTTACAATAATTGTTCTCCAATTTTTGCCCAGTATGTTCAGTATTTCAAATGTTATCATGAGTAATTTTTATTATCTGTTACATGATTGTTAACAATCATGATTACTAGAATATGCTCAGAAATATTTTTTTCTTTGAGTTTTTCTTTATTGTACAACTGATGCTCAACATTCATTAGGATTACATGCACTTTAACATTACTTGGACTGGTTTATAACTTTAAAAAAATATTTCTGACTGGCTTTCTGTATAGTACTGATGATAAACAATCTTGATTTAAATATGTCTGTTGAGATTTCTTGGGATGTGGTTTTTTTTTTATTTGTGCACAATTCTTTTAAGTAGATGCCTTATAATCAAGATTATGACTGTATGTCCTTGAGATTTCTTGGAATGTTTTGTTATGTTCCTTTTTGTGCACAATTTATGAAAGTATATGCTAGCGTACAACTGATAATCAAGATTATGACTGTATGTCCTTGAGATTTCTTGGAATGTTTTGTTATGTTCCTTTTTGTGCACAATTTATAGAAGTAGATGCTAATGTACAACTGATAATCAAGGTTATGACTGTATGTCCTTGAGATTTCTTGGAATGTTTTGTTATGTTCCTTTTTGTGCACAATTTATGGAAGTAGATGCTATGTACAACTGATAATCAAGGTTATGACTGTATGTCCTTGAGATTTCTTGGAATGTTTTGTTATGTTCCTTTTTGTGCACAATTTATAGAAGTAGATGCTATGTACAACTGATAATCAAGATTATGATTGTATGTAATTTGAAAATTCTTGGAATGTTTTGTTATTTTCCCTTCTTGTACAAATTTTTTATTTAGATGCTCAACAACAATAATTTTATGTACTGGGCATTTTTCCAGCATGTGTCTTTTTGTTCAGTAATTTTGGCTTTGTGTTCACTTTTTAAAACTGCAATTGATTACACTCCTTCAACTGAGTTTTAACAGTTATAATATTTCAACTTTAACATTTCTCAGAATGCATATTTCATTTTTCCTTCTCTCTTCTTATGAGATACATGTGGACATTACATAATTTACAATTGTCCTGTTGATGTGTATATAATATATAAGGTTTAAAACTGAATTATGTCCCCATTTCATAATCAGTAGTATTTGCTTGTAGTTGTTTAAAATGTAGTTGTTAAAATATAGTTTAGTTTTTTTCCAGGTAGAGTTGGAAAATATGTAGTTGTTTAAATATAGTTTAGATGTATTCCAGGTAGTTGTTTAAATATACATTTGCATTCCAGGTAGAATTTTAAAATATGTATTTCTTTAAATATAGTTTAGTTGTATTCCAGGTAGAGTTTAAAATACATTGTATGTAAGTTTAGTTGTATTTCAGGTAGAGTTTTAAAATATGTAGTTGTTCAAATATACAATAATTGTATTCCAGATAGAATCACATTTTACTGCCTACAAAAGATATCTCTTTTGATGCATAACATTTATATAGAGCTTGAATCACAACTTTTTAACAATAGTTTGTACTTTATATACACAATGAGTGTGTGAAATATTTTTCATTTATTCACCAAAGGCTTTTTTTTTATAATGTTGTTTGTATAATTCCGATCTTAAAATACATTGTACGGCAGAATTTATGTTCATACGTTTTGTTTAAAAATTGTATTTGTATTAAGAATTTGAGTTGTTTTTTTTTACTACTACCAGATAGTTTGTATTTGTAGTTTTTCTTTATTGATTTTTTACGCCTTTCACCTTTATTAATGACATATCTTTGGAAGTATAACAATTAATATTCTGTACATTTTTACATTTTCAAAACTTCAGAAGGATTATATATTATGCATAAAAAATTCTGTTCAACATCTTAAAACATATCATTCCATTTTTAATCATATCAAGTTTATTCCTTCATTTCATTGATTATTATTGTATTAAAATCTGTACTTGATTTTTTTTTACTGAAAAATGTTCTTTTCAATAAATGTTTTAATTTTTTTTCTCTTCATTATTTTTTTATTTTAACTCTGGCTTTTATTTCATAAATAAAGAATGGCTGCAATTATTTTTGGATATCAGTAAAATGAAACCAAAGCAGTCTGTGATAAACGTAAAATAAGAAGGAAAAATCACTTTTATAGGCATTAATAAATATATAGGTAGTATCCATAGTTAAATCCCTGCGTGGTAATCTGCCCCTCCATTTTTAATTGCTGTTGCTTGCACCAGCAAGTAATCTTCAGAAATTTAGTTTTGCTGTATTATACAAGGAGAAGAATTTTTTTTAGCCCAAACTTTCATTTCTTCGGTTATATTGATCTTCAGCATGACTATTTTTTAAATTTTGCAGTCGCTACATTGCGTCGTCCCTGCGTTTGGCCTAAAAATGTTAGTTTAAGGGACTCTGACCCTCAGCCAGGAAGGACAACTCTTTAATTTATAATTTAATTCAAAAAGTTTTTAAATGAAGCTTCAAAATTAAATATTTTCATGCAACAATTCTCATTATATGCCTCTCAATGTGTTTTAAGGTTCTTTGCAAAGCTCCATAAATCACTTTTAATTTCATATAATGTTAAAAAACACTGGTATCTAAAAATGCTTTTATGGGATAAAAATTTCTACTTTTAATTAGACCTTTCTGAGAAGTTCAAAGAACTTTGAAGCACATTGAGAGGCATAAAAAGAAAGTTGTTGCATGAAAAGATTCAATTTTCAAGTTTCTTGTGAAGCCTTTTTGAATTAAATTATAAATTAAAGAGTTGTCATTCCTGGCTGAGTCCCTTAACAAAACGTAGGTAAAGGTAGATTCTTTTGAAAGGTTTATATACTTAGCCTATGTGGGTAGCAATTATCTTTGGACTGTTATGTTATGTTATGTTAAAAATACCTGTCAGCTTATTTCTGACGGGATTTTTGCAAGTATAAAATTAGGGAAATAATCCATATATTCAGCATTAAAATATTTTCCTTTCTGTTTTCTTTCTTTCACATTATTGATACTAAAGAGATGACATTTCAGGGGGAAAGCCAAACTTGGATCATATTATCATTATTGCTTAAATTTAAATCCCACACAAGTATATGTACCGTTATCTTGAAATGCGTGTTTGGGGCACCGAGGGGGTCACTACATCAAAAGTATGGCTGTGTGTGGCGACTGTGACAGTGGATTCTGCCGATGATGTTTGCTGGGCTGGCCTGGAATATACTATTTGACTTTCTACCGTAGTGGCTTGTTTTATGGCCTTAAATAATCTTTGGAAGTTTCTTTTTTAATTTTTAATATTAGGGGGGGGGGGGTTTCCATTGCCTTTCGTGCATCATAGAAAAATGAAGCGTATTTAGTTTTCTGTTTGCTGAATAAGTCATTAAGAACTTCAGGTATAATAATCCATATATTTTTTGACAAGACTTTTAAGTAGAGCTTTAAACAAATTATAAATCATATGTATATATGTACTAAATATAAATTTCTAATTTTTCTACGGAAAGGACTGCCTTAACGGAAAGACTTATTGTAAGAGAGACAAGTTGATTCCTGTCAACAACAACGTCCCCACCGTTGCAAACCACGGCCAAAATGTTCGATCCTCTCCCATTCTAGGAGAGAGCTATATGCGGACTCCGGACCGTGGCTTTAGACGATGCCACGTCCCTCGATACCAAGTTTTTGTAAAAATGTTAAATATTTATGCACCCGATTTTTTGGGGGGCGTATATTGTTTTTGTCCTGTCTGTATGTCTGTTTGTCTGTCTGCATTTCTGTTTGTCTGTCTGCTTTAACCTTCGCCATAACTTTTGAACCGTTCGAGAAAGAGACTTCTTATTTAGAATGCAAACTCCTTCAACTGACACCAAGGTCAATGACCTTGTGACCTTGACTGTGACCTATATGCTAAAGATAGATTTTCAGAACTTTCGCTGTAACTTTTGAACCATAGGAGATATACTTTATATTTGATACGCATACCTCACTAGTTAAGTGTTTTCAAATGACACCAAGGTCAAAGACCTTGTGACCTGGACTGTAACCTATGTGCTAAAAATAGCTATCAATTTTGTTGCCGCCGGGTGCATAGTGTTTCACAAACATATTTTGTTTCCTTTTTTCCTAAAAAATATATAATTTCACCAAAAAAAAAAAAAAAAAAAAAAATCGGAAAAAATTGTATAAAAAAATTACCGATTGCTTTTGTTTGGTAAATAACAACAAAAACTGGTCTAAGGGAATAAGATTGTACAGAATGGCTGCCATGGCAACGGAATTGCCTATCAATTCAATATAATTCCAAGTAATAAATCTTCTTAGGGTATCCAAAATATAAATATAAACATTTATGGAAAATTTAATAGATGCTACCAAAATTACAGATTTCTAAATTGTCAATAAAGCCATAATTTCAGATATTAAGGAATAAGTTTGAATACAGTTTCCATGGTTACGGAATACCTATTAAATTTGAAATATATTTTCTTAGTAAAATAGTCACTTGACATATCCTAAAGTATGCATACTATCATTAACTTAAGACAATATAGTTGGTATCAAAATTAAAGATTTGTTAAATGAGAATAGATGGCATTAGATGACAGATTTAGAGGTCTGAAGGTGTATGTTTTTGACGACGGTTTCCATGGCAACGGAACGCCTGATCAAATTAAATTATATTTTTTTAGTAACATCCTTGCCTTATCCTTCTCCCTAGTAAAGATAAATATTTTCTGAGTGGGGGCCTTAAATGGCCCTTACCCTATATACTTCTTTGCTTATGTTTTGCATTTGAGATGCCCCCTCTGGTAACAAGACTATAGAATTATGTATTTGTTACATATATTGTATAATATAGAATTACTCATCAAATATTATAACTTGAACAAAATGTCTATTGTAGTATTCGTATAATTTCCTTTAAAGTGCTAAAAATTGGCATTTTCCTATATAATCCTATTGTAAATGTACCTGTATTTTGAGACGGCCCCTCAAAAATACCTGGGCGGTATTTGCATGTTCACTGAAGTTAATGTAATTTATATATGGTATAAAAATGAAGAGTTTCGCTATTGTAGATTTCACACAATAAAACTGAAGTCGTCCCCCTTAAATTAACTTTAGCGATTAAGCAATTAAGGTATTAATATTTTCCTTAAGTTAAGACTTTTTTGAATATATTTTCCTGTACTAAACGAAAATATTGAACTAAAGCAATTCAGCATGTTCTACTTTCCTCGGGCTTTGTGAATGGAAATTATTGAACTATCGGCATTACATTTTAGTCATCCACTAAGAATCATCGGAAATCCCGAGAAAGTAACACCTCACCGTTTTCCACAAATAAAAATTTAGAATGATACCGCCTACTCATGGTTTAAAAATCAATTTTTGTTTCTTGTTGGTTTGCAACGTCTCAGCCTCGCTTCATCATGATTGAAAAGAAGGAAAACTCCTCTAAAACACTAGAGTAGCAATTTTGCAATGAAAGATTAACTAATAACTGCGTCTGCGATAAAGTTGCATATTCGACAGACTGCGCCGGGAAATGCAGACGTATTTACGCTAAACGTCAGAGATACTTGTACAGTGTTTGGAGTCCTTGCGGGGAAAAGGAAATGTCATATTTCTTTGACGTAAGCATTGAGTGTATATTGCATTACAGTTCAGTTGTAACGAGTTGATATCATACATGTATATTTCAGAGCCAAAATGAATTTGATCTACCCTTTATATATATTGGATTACAAACCTTCATAAAAATCCTTACAGATAAAGATACATTGCGGGTTCTAGTAAATGGTCAGCAAAGCCTCTTTCGTTACTCCTCACTAAGATATTTACAGTAGTGAATGTAAAACTTCAGGAGTACTCTGCAACAATATATTCAAAAAGTGGTGTGAATCAGATGTGGATACTCCAAAATTCCGAATATCTTTTGGACAATTTGAAATCACAAGATTTTACAAAAATCAACAGCTTAAAAACTCACTACTTTTTTAACTTTATATACAACCATTCCACACGATAAATTAAATTCCAGGCTTTTTGATATCATTGACAGCTGCTTATATATAAATACAATGAAAATTGAACTCGTATATAAACTCACCTGGTCAATGATCATTTACAAAATTATTTTGTTAAAACACATTCTGATTGTACACATAAGTACTCTGAAGTTGACATCAAAGAGATGCTTGAGTTTCTGATTAACAATATCTATTTGGTTTTTTGGAGACCAGGTATGCTGAAATAGGAAAATCATATGGAAAGATGGGGAGTTTTTTTTAGATAAGAGTGAAAAAAATGGCTTCAAGATACCCAGGCTTTTCTTGAGAAAAAAAAAATGGAGAAAAGGACAGTATTTTGTAAAAATTACGAATTCAAATTGGACATTAAGGCTAGATGCTTGTATAACGTGACGTACTAGTATCAACATGTAACCTGACGTTATATCGAAGTCTACCCCGGATTTCACAACTATCCATTTTCAGAAAACTCGTTTGCCTTATTTGCAATTGGAACGTGGTGAAGTTTTTCAATATTGTTGCATAATGAATTTATATTATAAATATCCTTATTGTTTACTTTCATCAAATCACGATAAAATTTTAGAAATTCCACGAACGTTTGGATCAACATCGTTTGTATAATGTTATCCATTTGATGAGAATATCTCCACTCATATATAGCTTTACATGGAAACTAGTCAGAAATCAAGTGAGCTATCTTTTAAATCTAAATTTACCTGGTACTGTTAATCATATTAAACAATTTAACTATTGTTTTCATCCCCTCACTTCCTGGACAATCACGTACGTTATGTAATAAGAGCAAATACATACTCTATGCAGGGAAATTTTTGCCCCCGTTTTATTTCCGC